GGCACAAACGTGTTGGACAAGGCTTGCACGTGCACGAGTGGGCCCGGCATCTGTTGGCAACATTTTTTGGGGTCAACATTACTTCTTGTTTGAGTTTTGGTTTATTACATGTATACATGTTGATTGCCGTGGATTTTGATCTATTCCCAATAAGTATTCTAAAAAGCGTAAAACGGACTAGGTGTGGAGGCCAACTTCAATCTCTACGAGCGTAGGCAAGGCCTAAGCTTAAAAAAAGTTACTTATTTTTATTAATATCTTAAATACTTAATCATTTTAAAAATCATTTAATAATTAAAATGGTACATACTAAACATCTAAAATTATAAAACACTATATTTACTTAATAATTTCTACAATTACTCATAGTTTAAATTTTCAAAATGCAAAAATTAGATTATTTTTCGAAGTTTCAACTTTCAACTAGAAAGTCTTACGAAACAGATTTATAGGAATTTCATATGTACTTTCGAATTTTCAACAATACACAAGTCTGAAAATCATAATTACATAATATAGATAACACCGTAGCTTAAATCTTTAACTAAGACCTTGTATGATTCCCATTTTTTTGAAAATATATTTTTGTCTCTCTTCTTTTCAATAACGCATTTTTTAATAAAATAATATTATACACAATACAAAAACTTTTCTTTCATTTTTAACCACACATTCTCTATTCATCTATACCAAAATGCATTTTACACAAAAAAAAATAGGGCTCAAACATGTCCTATATCTTTACTGGATAAAGTCATTTTTGACTTTTGTACAAATAAAGTAATTTAAAAACTTTAAACTAAAGTCAAATAAAAGTCTTTTAGAAAAGGAAAAAATAAAAAATAAAAGTTAATAAACTAAAGTCAAATAAAATGGTTTTTTTAAAGGGAAAAAATAAAAATAATTAATAAAATCAATAAAGCAACTGGGCAGTTGATCGCGTAATTAGCGCTTACTACCAAGATAAAGTGTTTTTCCCGCGTCTCATGCTTAGGCGACGCTAGTTTGCGCTTTTTAAAACAATGTTTTTGTTGGCACACTAAAAGTACAGCCCAAATTGAATAGTTCAAAGAGTGAAGCCCAATTGGAGAATTTAGGATAAATGCCCAAATGAGGTTATTGGTAAATGCAGAGGAAGCCCACGAACACATAACATCATCGCCCAAGCCTGCATGACGCCCAGAGTTTGGACGAATGGAGTGCCTCACTGTCGCTCAGAGAGACAACCTCGTTTTCACACGAACCTTCGAGGCGNGGAGAATTTAGGATAAATGCCCAAATGAGGTTATTGGTAAATGCAGAGGAAGCCCACGAACACATAACATCATCGCCCAAGCCTGCATGACGCCCAGAGTTTGGACGAATGGAGTGCCTCACTGTCGCTCAGAGAGACAACCTCGTTTTCACTCGAACCTTCGAGGCGCCTAGAATCTTAATACATGAGACATTATGGTCATCCAGAATAGTAGTTACTGAAACAGTTATCGAGCCGATTATCACATTCCACGATTTAAGGAGCCCATTTGAAGGCAGTTGAACAACAAGAAGAATGGCAGCAATTAGAGATGGCAGTTCCACGACAAGTTAGCCACCATGAAGAAAATGGGTAACAATTTCCAAGCGATTTGTCATGAAGAAATCATCATGG